GACAGACCCCATTCCCCCAACAGTTGATCGAACCCATCCCAACTATTGTCTCGGTTTAAAGACCCCGGGATCCACCCAAAGCGGCAGCCTCCTCTGCGGCTCACAGGCTTTACGGCATACTCCAGAATTTGCCCTTTTGTCTTTCTGGCATTACATTCCCCTTTGTTCCCTTAGGGTCAGTAATTTGCTTATTCACATGAATCTCTTTGAAGGGAGCAGGGGCGAGGAGAGCGGAAGACTTTGTATGGTACTAGAAGCAGAGGCAATGCTCTCTGCCTGGTCTCACTGTGCTTTAAATTCTTTCAGCGTGTCATAAAGCAAACGCCACGTCGTTAAAAGTGCTGTAGCATCTTTCGTCCCTAAGCTAGCACAATCAAACAAGTTATTGCCTATCTCCTTCCAAACAGAGACACTAAAAAAGTTAATAGCTGTTGGCTCTTATCCCCGATCCTTAATCCATAATAGCATCTTTCTTAAAGACAATTCATCCAACTTAACATCTCCTTTTTGCAAAATCATTTTCCACATAATCATAGTCTCTTCCTTACTTAAAGAAGTACCCATGTTCCCAGCAGCACACCTAATCCAGGTGTCTCTCTCACCTTATTCAGGTGGATATAACTCTCTCACCTCTGGAGCCCTCAGTATAGGAAAGACATGGACCTGATGGAGCAGGTCCAGAGGAGGGCCACGAGGATGATCAGGGGGTTGGAGCACCTCTGCTACGAGGACGGGCTGAGGGAGCTGGGGTTGTTCAGCCTGGAGAAGAGGAGGCTCCGGGGAGACCTAATAGTGGCCTTCCAGTCCCTGAAGGGGGCCTAGAGGAAGGCCGGGGAGAGCCTGTTTACAAAGGCCTGTAGTGACAGGACGAGGGGCAATGGCTTTAAGCTGGAGGGGAGCAGATTTAGATTGGAGATGAGGAGAAAGTTCTTTACTGTGAGGGTGGTGGAGCACTGGAACAGGTTGCCCAGGGAGGTGGTTGAGGCCCCATCCCTGGAGATATTCAAGGTGAGGCTCGACGAGGCCCTGGGCAACCTGGTCTAGTTGGGGGTGTCCCTGCTGACTGCGGGGAGGTCGGACTAGATGGCCTTTGGAGGTCCCTTCCGGCCTGGGCAATTCTATGATTCTATGATAATGACAGCGGGGAGAAATACAGGGGAGGGAGCAGCAGAGAGGGGTGCATGACAGAGGGTTATAAAGAAAAAAATAGCACAAAATGGGAATGAAGGAGTGAAAGAAAGCACAGTGAGCTTTAAAAAAGAAAAACCAAGAGACCAAACTAGTGATGGGAAACAGGCTAGGGATGGGGAACAGAGAGAACAAGACAGAAATAAGAAACAATAGGAACTGGGGGAAAAAAAAAATTACATTCATCCCCTCAGAATCCTGGAAAAAGAGCCTGCCCATTGCTGCCTGAAAAGGAAAGGTATAAAATGTGTGGGACTGTTGATACAAGATGATTTGCTGTTATTGCTACTTGCTTTTCCTTCTTCATGAGAAAGTGTGCAGAGATTCTTTTCTTTCAAAGGCAAAATTAACTTTTGTAAATCTCAGCTACTGAGACTTCCTAGTCAACCTTCCAAATAGAACTTTTTCCATACTAGATGGAATATCTATATAGACATTTCAGAATTATTTTTCAAGTCTGTTTGCTTTCTTCTCAGATTAAAGGTCACTGCTTCTGGCTTTCCCTTTCACCGAGTTGCTGAAGTAATTCTAGGTCTTCCTTTCCTCATTCACCCTTTCTTTCTACTCTTCACGCACCCACTTTACATCATCCTCCCTTGACAGTCTATTGAGCTAAGAAACCGTAACCCAGAAACAAAACCCCCTTTACTGAGCTGATGAATTGCAACTTGCTCAGCCCAACCAAGGTTTCTAGTATTATTGTCTGTGCAGTATCTCTTGGAAGGCTGCAGGCTGTTAGCACAGGTTACTCCAGGCTTCTCTGTAGTGAGAGAGCAATCTGTGCCACAGCACTAGTGACTAAACTAAATGAAGCCTTAGGCTACATGAATTGTACTTTAACCTTTGCTTTTATCTATGGGAACGTAACTGGGTAGATAAGAAAGTGTAAGTACCTTTAACCACAGGATATGCTGTAATAAAAGATAAGGAAACATCTCAAGACACAGACAAATAAGGTGCCTGGAGGCTGGTGGAGCAAATCAGAAGAACAGAAGATCCCAGACTCTGCGAATAGGATTGCAGGAGCTTAATGCCATCAGGAAACCAAGCAACCTACAGAGACTAAAAAATGCAGTAACAAAACAGGGATGGTCCCTCTTCAGAGGCACCCAGCTCGAGCTGTAATGACTATGGCATATATAGTAGAAAAAAAGAACTCTGATTCTTTTATTAAAGCAGAACCTATGGACGAGCCCTGTTGTGGTGGCATCTGCATAATTCCTACCATGGTCAAGATAGCGGTATAATTCCTACAACACCTCTTAGCATTCAAGCTCTAGCCCCAGCTGCAACTTTTTTGTTGACTGTAACTGATAACAGTGACAACGATAAATGTACTCCAAATGACCAAGCACCTGGACCGGAGAGGAGCCAGACCTCTCCAAAGGTAAGGATTTCTCATTTATTCAGTATGGAAATGGCTGAAGATGGAATCCAGTGAAGAAACAAATCAACATTAGAAAGATCGGAAGTTCTCACCTTTGACAGGTCCCATTAAAACTTGTACATGTCACACTCAAGTGAAGAGAAATCCAAAAACTTGAGAATGTTATCTGGAGCAGAAAGAAAACAGCTGTACCTGTCTCGTTAAGACACATAAGGTTAGTGCAAGAGATACAAAGAAACAAAGTATTTATTGTTAAAAGCTTTTCTACGCATCACTTGGCATCATACAATGAAGCTACAGAGCAGAGGGAGTCTCTCTTTTCCCCACTCCCCTTCCCTCCCCCCCCTTAATACATGTATTTGCTCACTCTCACAAGCTCCCAGTTGTATTTTTTAATGGAGTTCCTTTCTTCAATGAGATTGGAAAAGGTGTTTATCATACAGGATCTGGCAGAACAGATACATCCTATTGAACAGAGCAGTTACAGAAAGGAGACCTCTCTTCATGAAAAAAGCTTTCTTTTCCCCCATCATCTACTTGCGCTGCCATAAAAGGATTTTCAACACAAAAACAGGCCAAAAAACCTTCAATATCTGACTAGCATTTGGGCAAAATTAGGAGTCCTAGGATATGCAGCAATATTGATATATGCATTAATATTTTTACTCTGCTTCCACAGGATAAATTCTAAACAATGTGGCATAAGAAAACTGCCAGCTAAAACAGTGTTTGTGCTACAACTACCAACCCTGCTAAGCCAAACAACTGAATCCCAGTTGGTAACAGTGGAAAATGTTTTGACAATGTGTCTCAAAGTTATCTGCAGAACATTTGGTTCTGTACTGCGCGCCCTTTCCCAGGCTACACACAAGCCGAGACACTCACTCTCTCCCACATCTCTCTACATGTACGTGCACACAAAATATACTGACTCACATGGACTGTGCTATTTCCAACAGTGCTCTGCACTTCCTCCTGTGCTGTCTTACTGGCACTTCAGCAGCACTCTGCTCCACCTTTTTATTTTGCTTTCCACTGCTGTGTTCTTCTCTCTATTCCACAATCAAACATTTGTTTTCCCTTTAATTTCTAAGAAACACTTGGTCTGAAGTGCAAAGGACTAAAAAGAGTGTTTCAAAACTGTCAACACTTCAGCTCCAAGATATATTTCCCTTCTATTGGTACTCCAGAATACTGTTTTAATCCTCTCCTAGTTTAATGCTATATTTTCTAACAATCTATATTATCATCTAAACATTAACTACTTCTACGCACAGAATGTTTTTTCTGCAGTATGCACTGATTTGTATTGTACCGTGGCAGCAACTGAAGACCCCAAAACATCTTATTGTCATCTTTTATGCACACAAAAAGACAACCATCCTGAACTTAAAATGAATTTATCATTCACAATCTGCCACAATTACATGCCTGTTCAGTACCACTGCCTTTCATTTGTGTCCGCCCAAGCAGGATTTGCTCCAGTTCCCCTCAGTATTGCTCCATTCTTTTTCTTCAAATATAATTGCTCCTTTTTGCAAACACACAAGCTTCTGGCTGCACTCCTAGAACAGAGGACAAAATTTCTGTCTCTTCATTGAGGCCTGAACTGAACAAGAACATACCCACCAAAATCTCAGATTCCAGTTTAACTGAAGGAAAGACACCCGACAGCTATTCCTAAGACTCACTATCGGTGGCCATTTTTGTGTACAGTAGAGTATGGAGAGTGGGTTATAAGAATTTGGATTTTGGATTGCCATCTTCAGTGCCATTTGCAGTGTCCGACTCACGCCCACACGCTTCAGTGCAGTGTTGGTGCTTAACATGGATTCACCTTCCAGGGATAGTTGTGAGCACTGGGCAGCAACACCACATTATTTAATTAATTCTACAGAGACATTCTAAAAGCAGACTGGACTCCATTATGTTGCCAGCTGTGGCACATGCTTAAAATTTCTCTATACAAATATCTGCCTCTTCAATGGGAAAGTTCTCAAAAAAAACGAGTTCCCTGGCAGACATCCTGCAGGTATCCATCCCAATCCCATGCCCTTCTTGCATTCTTACGTTATCTTTCTCTGCATTTCTTAGTCCCAGAGACTGAAAGCATCCCCTGATTGTAGCTGCTCTGTTTACCACATACAGAAAAGAGATTTACACACTGGACAGCATGCACACAACTGACACAGCAGCATAATAAATATGGAAGCACAGTAGCAGATGTTCCCCACTGCTTTCCCTCCTAATGCTTGCTTGTAGTCCAATTAGCAAAGTCCTGAATTAAGTAAGATTTCAAGTCATTCACTGTCTGGCAGCCTCATAGCCCCTCACTATACTCAGTTTAAGACTGCAGGATTTCATGTTTTACTGGGGAAAAAAGGGTTTTAACACAAAAAAGTTCCAGATGAAGCCTTCCTGGTATAAGGTCTCAGGCAAAGAGGTACAGCTTTGATTTTTCTTAAACCAATGGTTTTGCATGACAGTACTGCCATCACAGGACTGCAATCAAATGTAACTTTTCCAAGATATCTCTGAACACAATGGACACAGTAAAAGCTATGGTAATATTAATGTGAAAGCAGAGGTATTAAATTAAGGGGTGCAAGAGAAGACTATCTCTTCTGTAACTGGACAGAAGAAACTTTTAAGTTCAACTAAGAAAGAAATTGGCAAAGACAACAGAAGAGAAAAGGATAATACCACAGCAAAAGCGTTATTCAGAAGAGCTGCTTCCCATATGTGAATTCAATTCTCTTTCCAAGGAAGTGAAAGAAAGGAGACAAAAAGGAGTAACCTAAAAGAGGATTTGGAGTACCACATCATCTGGACAAAGAGTTATGCTTTGGCGGCTGCTTTTTGGACTAGAAATCACGTTGGGCCATTAATTACAAACTAGTCTATGCACTACAAAAAATGAGGGGGGGAAGGATTGAATGAAGATGTCCCTGCTTCCAAGTAAATATGGTGTAAATTCCCATAGCCTGAATTTGTCATACATTTACAAAGAAGATGGTTTCCAAGGGATATGTTCTCTGTGCTTTTTAAGGCTGATAGTGCTTTATAATGCAACAGCATCCTATATAACTAGTACATATAATGTATGAGGGAACTCAGTAATTCAGAGCAAGATGCAGTTCACCTATGATCAAAATATGAGACCAATTGAGGGACTCAGTTAACATCTTAGGCAAAGAGAAAACTGCCACTTTATATGAAGGTGAGCCTCTTGGATTACACACCAACTTAACAATTAGAGAAGTTACTCAAGAGAAACATTTAAGAAATTTCGTATTTTACATATATGCTTATTGTTAGTATCTGCTGTTTTCAAGGCAGGTATCAGCAAAGCACCATTAAGTTATTTTAATATTCTCAGAATGCCTCATTTCTTGCTTCAACCTCGTCTTTGCTAACATCACTGATATGAAGGATGCCTAAGAAGCTCTTATCCAAGGGATATTTCCCTTCCTCTCAGTACAGCACACTGATCATACCCCTCTAGTGATACCGAATTGAGTCTACCTTTCACTGCAGGGGCAAAGAAAAAGGAAGTATTAAGAATTTGCAGAAGAGATGTCCTGACTATACTACATTCTTCCAGAGGGGCTGTTCATTCCAGGAATGAAAATTCTTCTAGTTTGTTCTTTCACACGGTGAGATGGCTTCTTGCACTGCTCCAGCTGGAATAAAATCCGTGGTCAGGAATATAAAGCATTCCACAGCTATAAAAAAAGACTATCTTGTCTAATTCCAGAGAAGCTACTATTAGAGACTATAGTTAATATAGAATGACAACTGCATTTATTTCTCTAAATCTGTAGTGTCTGTAGTGTCCTATAACACCTCATCCTATAACATCTCAACCTCTGCCTTCAATACCACCTGTGATTCTATGTGGTGTCTGAACTTTCCACTAAAATTTAATGATGCGCATTGATGAATGAACCTTTAATCTTCTTTAACAGACACTTGTACAGTGCTTTCTCTGGCCTGGAATGGTTTGAGACACCCCCCATGGGCAAGATTTTCAAGGGTCACTTTAAAGCTGGTGTTCTGACTGGTGTGTTGACGATACGATCTCATCCAGTCAGGAAGCAGGTCCATGTGTAACAGTGAGCTAAGTAACACTGAAAAGTCCACTGTTTCGGTGGTCACGATGCCAATGGGATCTTGTGAGCGGTACTTATGTGTTGCGCACTCCCAGAGACTGTTCCAGTTCCTGCCGACGCTGCTGGATCTGAAAGCAAAAGAGAAACTGTACAGTTTAGCAGATTCAATTGTTCAGTGGAAGGAAGATTCATTGATAAGCCAGCAGTGTGGATAATTTCTTCATACCTTGCAGTAGAAATATCTGCTCACAGCCTCTTGAGACCATGGCTCGTGATAAAATTCAGCTCTGCGTTCTTCCTCTGGGTTTCCAACCACATCAGTCATCACCTATGACAAAAATAAAAACATTTTTCACTGTAGCTCTTCTACCATTGAAAGGAACATTCAGATTTACCTAGAATCAAAATTAATCTACATTACTACATTAAAAATGTTCAGGACTGTTCTCTAAGCCCAAGGCAAATGGTCAATGAACGGCATGTGTGCTTACCACCACCAAAAGATGGTCGCATATGAACTATGAACTGTGACCAGCTCCTAACTTCTGCTCCTCAACTGTGCCACGGAATAATGCTGGACACCAGTAGTTGCCCAGGTTAGGTGCCACAATCTCTAACAATTGAACAGTATGGACAATTTAGTTCCAGTGCTCAGGAGAAATTCCCTGGCACTGTATATTTTATTAGTCTATGTATCCAAAGAACCTCAGTAGTTCTACATACACTCAGCAACCGCCAGGGAAGCAAGATCTGCAAAAACAGCAAGTTGTTCAAGGAATTAGTGGATTGGACCACCTAAAAAAGGAGAAAGGAGCTGAACAGAGCTGACAGCTCTTTAAGGAAGTTTTTAGAGTTAAAAAGCTTTAAATTCCCATGTGTAAGAAACTGGGCAAGGAAAGCAGGAGACCAGTATGACTCAGTAAGGACCTCCTGGTCAAACTTAAGTGTAAGAATAAAACGCACAGGAAGTGGAAGTAGGGACATGTATCGTGTGAAGAATGTAGGGGTGCTGACTGGATGTGTAGGGATGGGCTCAGGAGCGCTAAGACACAGCTGGAACTTAATTTGGCAAGGGATGCAAAGAATAATAAGGGCTTTTACAGGTGCGTTGGCCAGAAAAGGAAGATTAAAGAAAATGTACACACACACACACTCCCCTCCTTCCCTCCCTCCTGGTAAATAAGACAGGAGAATGTTGGTGTCAATCAATATGGAGAAGGCCAAGTTAATCAACACATTTTTTTTGGCCTCAGTTTTCAATCGTATTCTCTCTTTCCACATAGAATCATAGAATAGTTTGAGTTGGAAGGGACCTTTAAAGGCCATCTAGTCCACCCTCCCCTGCAATGAGAAGGGACTTCAACCAGATTAGGTTGCTCAAAGCCCCATCCAACACAACCTTGAATATTTTCAGGGATGGCGCATCTACCATCTCTCTGGGCAACCTGGGCCAGGGTTTCACCACCCCCACAGGAAAGAATTTCTTCCTGAGTTCTCATCTAACTCTTCCCTCTTTCAGTTTAAAACTGTTACCCCCTGTCCTCTCAGAACATGACCTGCTAAAAAGTCTATCCCCATCTTTCCTGTAGGCCCCCTTTAAGTACTGAAAGGCCGCAGTAACATCTTCCCTTCCCTTCTCTTCTCCAGGTTGAACCCCCTAAACTCTCTCAGCCTGTCCTCACAGCAGAGGAGCTCCAGCCCTCACAGCATCTCTGTGGCCTCCTCTGGCCCTGCTCCAACAGGTCCATGTCTCTCCTGTGCTGAGGCCCAGAGGTGGTGGCAGCACTGCAGGGGATCCCCCTAGAGCGGAGCAGAGGGGCAGAATCAGCCCCCTCACCCTGCTGCCCACACTGCTGAGGATGCAGCCCAGAATGTGGGGAATTTCTGGGCTGCCAGCACACGTTGTCAGCTCATGGCCAGCTTTCTCCAACCCCCCATCCCTGCACACTCCCAAGTCCTTCTCCTCAGGGCTGCTCTCCATCCCTGCATCCCCAGCCTGTGCTGGGACCGGGGACTGCCCTGAGCCAGGTCGGGGACCCTACACTTGGCCTTGCTGGACCTCATGAGGTTCACACAGACCCACCTCTCCAGCCTGTCCAAGTCCCTCTGGATGGCGTCCAGTCCCTCATGCGTGTCACTGCACCACTCTAACCCAAACCATTCTACTGATTCTATTAAAAAAAATAATTCTGATGACTAAGTCTCCAGCATCACAGAATCAATTGCAAATATAAATTTATTAGCACCTTTGGAGAGGATTATCATGCAATCGCAATTCTGATGCCAGCGGGGCAGAACATTATAGAAAAGGCCCATTGTTGATCAGGGGGAATGATGAACAACTGTTTTATGTATGCAGCTATAGAAGTTCCACAACACCTTAGTTTGTAAGGTCTTAAAACTAAAAGCTGCTTTATTTATTTTAAATAATCTTTCAGATACCTGTCTCCTTTTGAATACAACATAAATAATAACAACCATAATCTTAGTAGTAGATTTTTGGCAGACTACTGACTACAAACTAGACATTTATATTTGAAAGACAAAACAATTTTATTAAAATAATTTCATGGACTCGTTAGTACAACCAGTTTTGAGTTGTCTGAGTTAAAGACACAAAGTGTGAAACTTTTTGCAGAACAAATTATTCATTTTTGCCAGCAAACAACTGAACCTCTTTACATTCCAACTCTTGGGTATCTCAAAGCTAAGCTCAAAGGCAGCTGATATTTAATCTAACTATTTCTTAAATAAGATTAAATTATGAACTAACAGAACGCCCAAATGGTGTTATTATACTATAGGATGCTCTGGCTGAGTTTTATATAGCTTTAATTTTATGGAGTACACTAACACAGCCCTGGACTCTGAATTTACTGTCCGATCACAAATTCATCTAAGATCCCCATCAAGCACCACTGTTCCACTGGGAGTGGAATACAACATAAACTGCCTTTCCTGCGTACTCTCTGCTCTGGGACTGCAGTATTCAACTCATTGTCTGTCTTCCACCCATTTTCGATCCTGGATGTTTGAGCTTTACACTCTGTATGCATTCAGATAAAATTCTTACATTCTGCTTCTGCTATTCCTCTTCTTCAAACCTTAGCTCACCTTAAGATCCCTACTTTGGGACCGGAGAAGGTCTTGGATGTATCCTTTGGGATCTTTGGAGAAACTCAGCATGAAATCACGTTGTATTTTTAACTGATTTATGGATTCGATTGTCTCATGAATCTAACAGAAAAAAACAAAGCAGATGTTACTTATGTTCCTCCCATGCTCCAGTGACCCTGCCGCCAGCCCCATTAGCATCTTTGTCCTTCTTGTAATGTACAAAGGTGATAATTCTGCATCATAGACTTGTGGAGGTTCCCATAGGATTTTCCCTTCAAAGAGGGAGTTAACCACAATCCTGCAATTACATTTTGCTTTCACCTGTACTTCTCTAATACAAGTATGTACAGATTCTTCTTCACTTCCTGTACTGAACTACTGGATGGCATGGTATATACAATACTGATGAGCTAAGTCCTGTCACTGCACAACATGGTAATTTCCTGTCTATCATCAGTCTTTCTGCCAAGTCTGGGATTTTTCAGGGAAGGTGCTATATGAATGTGTCTTTAAACAGTGCCCAATGCAAGAAAGCAATTATTCCCCTGATTAATCATCATCATGTCTTCAATACCCTCCTGTGATTCTTAAAATTTCCAGTGACTGCCTGATCAAGTCCACGTTAAACAAACTCACGTAACAGCCACCTTTAGACTTTTCCTTACGAGAAAGCCTATTAAAGGCACAATGGCTGCAAAAAGGAGTACGAACAATGAGAAATCAAGAGTATGGAAGGTTTACAGAAAATTAGTCAGATCTTTAGAAGTATTATGAAAGAAATAAGCATTAACCAGCAGGGAAGAATGAAGACTCCAAAGAGAAGTCAAGGTCCTGTTATCATTCTGGATAACAAAATCAAGTATGATCACCAGGAGGACAGTTGATGAATCATTTGCACATACACACACACAGAAAAGAAAACTTCTGCTACCCTGTTCCTCTAAAATTCCAGTTTGAGATTGCAAACTTGTCTTGTTTAATTTCACTATTGCGTCAAAAAAGCTAATGTGGCCAGGCACGTGGGAGAAAATAATCCTGCCCTGATCGGGCTACGTCATCAAGGCCACCAGTGTAGGCACAGCTATATGGTACGTTAACAGAAGAGAGCTGCTGTTAACTTAAAATCATTCCTTATTTGGAAAAATGATGTAGGAGATAAATCTGTTGGCATGCATCGAGTTTCCACTAGAGGACTCTGTGGCAGCACAGCAGTAAATGGTACAGACGGTAACAATGCCGCAGTCAATGCCTCTCTACCCAGAAGTGACTTCAGTAACTTCATTAACCACAGCTTGCCCTCTGCTGTAGCAAACGCTCAGAAAAGAGGCGATACAGCCATGGGAAAATGTGAGCTGGACTGGAAACTGAATAATCCTGTGGATGCTGCATGCAAGCTTCTGTAGGCTGGGAACCAACTGGCTGAGCAGCTGCCCTGCTTAAAAGGACGCTTCTCAAGAGCCATAAAATAAAAGATGCTGGAACAGTTACTAGAATCCGTAGGATTTCTAGTGTCCAGACCCCCTTGAAAATTGCATGAAGACCAGAGTTTAATGTATTTGTTTGTAACAGAGGTAAACAAACAGAAACTGGGCCTAACTGTATGTTACAAAAAGCATCTCTGGTCAACCATGTCACACCTCTTCTTCTTCCCTTGCTCTGAGAAGCCATTTTTGTTTATCCCTTACCAAGTCAAACCAGCCATTTACACATGTGCCAAAAGCTGGTAACAGTCCCGGTGTCAAGAACCCCTAATACAGCCCTGCAGAGTTCACCACTGCTGTAAGACAGAAACTGTTATCTGAAGTGTACATGATCCTCTTTCAGTAAGACCGGAAACACGCCTGCCAAACTGCTCCAAGTGATTCTTCTGCCATGCATTTACCATATTTGCACCTACTGCCTGCAACCATGGATGCACAAAACACATCTGGAGTTATGAGATTCTCTTAGCTTAGCCTTATAGCAATTTAGCATGATACCATGACCTCCCAATAAAATGTTATAATCAAACAGTTCAGATGATTATTGAATGCCAGGAGACTTATTATACTGCCTGTGAAACTCTGCTTCTATCACCTTGGCAACTGTGTCAGGCACTGGATCACATCCTGAGCGGGAACACCACTCACCCCTCTGTATTCCTACTGCATGTGGCTGATCCATCCCTTGAAAGCACATCCAACTGAGAAATCCTTGTCTCACAACATTACTGTCTTTGAGGTGTCCCACCAAACCCACATGAAGGAATATAATGAGTATATATGCCAAGTGATGCTTTACCTTGTTGTCCAATGCTGTAATCTCCTGCTGGTTAGCTGTTGAGAGAAGAAAACTACTCATCTGGCCCTTTAACGGGTCTTCAACTTCTACATCTATGTCATAACAAGCCGTCTTCTTCTGATCATTTGGGTCAACGCTATGGGGAATGTAACAGAAGATAATGAGAACTGATCCTGAATCAGAGTAAATATCCAGCCCAGAATATGCTCTTTGATAAAGCCTGTTGCAGATGCCCTGAGAAGAGGTTAAGAACAGAGTATCTGTGTATATTTGTATATCCTAGTATATCCTCTAATCTTTCATCAGCCAAAATTCAGAGACTTTTAAGCTGTTTTGTCTAGACTTTATTAGCTACTAACGGACCTAGTCTTCATGACATTGTCTAAGGAAGAGACCTATTGTTAATTCTGGTCTACAAACTACCACTTGCGGCCCGTGTCCTGCTTCGGGGTGGATCGGAGACAAGGTTCTGTTCAGAGAGAGGCTCCTGCTTTTCCTTGTTACCGTGGCAACCAGGGTGAGCTGCCCGGGGTGTTTACCCCACAGCGGGGTTGCACCTGTGGGGAGGAGCGGGCAGGTCAGGTGACCCAAACTGACCAATAGGGTGCTCCCTCCCTTCTGCCTCGCTCAGTGCAAAAGCTGAGGGGTTAGAGGGGCTCTGTTGGCTGGTTTTCTTCTTTAGCTCTTCTTCAATGTCTTGCTTTCTTCAATGTCTGATGACTGAGGAGGACCCTGTCAGTTTGTCTACCTTTGATCCCCATCAGCATGCTCCAGAATCCAGTTCCCATTGTCACTGAGTCCAGTCTGGAAGTTTCTCAGCGCCTGCTGGTGACACCTCCATGGGAGCTTGATACAGTTTTGTATATATTTATATATATTGTATCTATTTCATTATTTTCCTTTTTATTTTATTAATAATATTTCATTAAAGTTCAGGTGTTTCCTAAACTGTCATTATCTCTCTTCTTCTCTTGTCATTGGCCAACCCAGCCCAAACCGACAGCCCTCACAAGCGGTGCTCCCCAGGGCTAGTATTGGGGCAATCCCTTCTACTGCTGTACACTATTCTGTGATTTTATGAGCCTAAAAGTAACTTCCTTTAAATTTAGTGTCAGACTTCCAGATTTATTTTAGCTTAGCTGGAGACTGTAAAGATTCTATTGCAAAAAGTATTCCCTATTCTCAGGAAATTAATAGTTCCCCTTTCCACAGCCATTATGTCGTGCAGTGTAATGCTGCCAGGTGCTGTGTGGCACAGAGTGTATCAGAGAACGCTACTGGAGACAAGGTCCTGCTCTTTCGCTTGTGTCTAACAGAAAACACACTGCCTCAAGAACCTCTTTGCCATCTCTCTGCCCCTGGAAACACAACCATCAGCTCCTTGTCATTTTTCTCGAAGGTAACGACTATGTATCTCTGAGGACCTCAGCTTTTTTGGTCGATCAAACAGATCACTGAGTTGTCTTCAATGACAGTATATACACAGCTATCAATCTGCATGGCAGTCAACCTGCTTTTTGATGACTCTGTTTTAGATATTCAAATGAACCAAAAAGCACATTTTATTTTGATAGCCTATGTAATATTTAAACTTCTTATTACATGTATTACAAAATTAAAATAACCCAATTTTAAGCATATTCAGAAACATTTGTTGTCAATATTCTGTAGGAAATCAAATCACTACTCTCAATTACCAATAATGTTTAAACACTCTAATCAGTTTTGATCGAGACCACAAAGGAACTTGGGAAAGACTGAAATATCTGAACAGCGAGGCTGCAATGCCCAAAGTCTCTTTATCCCCCCTTCCCCACACACAGTTGTCACTTAAATACAGAATGTACTCGAAGTGCCCTAGATAGCTGAGAGTCGTATTTCATCTACTATGCCCGAAATACATCTATATTGAGAGGGATGCCAGAAACTCAGTATCTCGGTCACAATGGCCTTCTCTGAATTGAAGCATTCTCTATTGTCAGTTTCTTGAGATCTCTGACCAGTTAGCATTCTCAGAATAAAGCTGACACCCAAACAGCTGATCCAGCCCCAACAAAGCACACGTGGATTGGCCACTGTATTGGAAACTAATACTGGTGTACATTTTACATAATAACTCAGCAATTACAATGATTGCCCATGATGTACAGTATCTTACTTCAATTTCCTTCAATTCAGGAAAGAAACCCGACCACATCTTTCAGTAGTATTCTAGTAGGGATAAAAACAGAAGAAATTCTGCATACTCCTAGAGAATCGGTGCCAATCTACTGAAAACAATTCAGAATTATATAGACAAGAATGACACAAAGAACGAAGACAACACAAAGTCCAAGGTACTCACTCACATGAGTGACTGGATTCTGGTCCCTGCTACTGTAGCTGTTTCTGTATTTTATTTAGTGAGAGTTTTGCCCACAACAGTGCTGAGCTGACTGACCAGCTTACCTGATGATATGGTTTATCACTATAGGGTCTGGTGGCAGCAGCAGGTTAGTAAGCCTCTGAGGAATTTCAGAAAACTTTAGCCGGGGACAATCAAAGATCTGGAATACAATAAAACATGTTATTCTTGTCCAAAACCTAACTTGCAATCAAATGAGAAAGTAAGAAATCAACAGTTCAAAAGTAAGGTGATTTTGAAAGCTATAAATCTGGCTTCCTGCACGGAACAAATTTTTGGTCACTTCTGTCCCTGCAAATTGCTGCTGTATTTAAAATCTGAGTTAGCTGATAGAGGCATCAGATGACAACAATTCCAGGTACCCCACTTTTGGTTTAGTTCCTGCAGACACAGGCCACTTTAATGTGACATGAGGATCAACTGTATCAATGACCGGAGAGAAGTGAACATTTCCTCTCTCACAAAGTGTTTGCAGCAGCATATTGTAAAAAAAGCATTATTTTTATTTTTTTTTTTTCCAGAGGAAATATAAATACAGCTTGCTTTTTTTCCCCATGGCATGTTTCCTGCAATATTTTGTGCTAAAGAAATACACAAGAACACATTTTTGCATTTTAAAACCATTTGCAATTTTTTTTTTTTTTTAAGTGGGGGGGAAGTCAATGTGGTTTTATTTAGTTTTAACCAAAACCTAAACAGCCTGTTGGTTTTCCATGGTTACCTTTTCTTTACTATGGTCCAGGAGCTAAATATGTATTGAATTCAGAAAAAAAAAAAAAAAATTGAAAAAAATCAAAATCTCTAGTTTTGGGAAATTTTCTGTGAGTAATTGCAATGTGTTGCCATGAATCTAGAACCACTCTTTACACCCGGAGTTTTCAGAAATACAATTATTACAGCCTTTTTTTTTTTCCTACTGGGACTTTTAATGCTCTGAACAGGCGAATAGCCTTTTCTCTAAAGATATTCCATTTAAACTGATACAGTACCTTCTGAATTTTCTGGAGTGAGGGAATTTTCAAGAAGAAATACCTTGAAGCCATCTCTGGCTTTTAAAATACCTTTGGACATTTTTTCTTGCTTTTGCTTGTAACACAGTGGATTTCAAATCTCCCAGTTTACATAAATAGTGTTTCAAATCGGAAATGGATCCTTCTTCTTCAACTCTAAAATCTGTCTAATTTGCTGGACTTACCCGCACCCAGGAATTCAGCCAGCTAGTTTCTAAAGACCAAGGAAGTAACCAAATCTATGACTCTGCAACTCGCTCTTTATTCTGACACTTGATAGAGATGACTCTGGAATTCCTACTCAAAATCTTTGCACACCAAGCTCCATCCAACCTACTGTCACCACTGGCTCAGCACTCATTTCAAACTGCTCAATCCATTCTCCACCCAGCCTGTACTTGTGCCTGGGATTACCCCGATGCACGTGCAGGACCTCGCACTTGGCCTTGTTGAACTTCATGAGGTTTGCATGAGCCCACCACCTCTCAAGCCTGTCCAGCTCCCTCTGGATGGCATCCTTTCCCCTCCAGCATGTTGACCACTCCACACAGCTTGGTGTCGTCGGCAAACTTGCTGAGGATGCACTGAAACCAGCTGTCCATGTTGCCAACAAAGCTGTTGAACAGCACCGGTCCCAGTGCTGACCCCTGAGGAACACCACTCGTCACTGGTCGCCATCTGGACATCAAGCTGCTGACCACCATCCAGAGAATTCCCTATCCATCAAATCCATGTCTCTCCAGTTTAGAGCCAAGGACGTTGTGCGGGACAGTGTCAAATGCCTTGCACAAGTCCAGGTAGATGACGTCAGTTGCTCTCCACTTATCCAACAGTGCTGTAATGCCATTGTAGGTCACCAAATTTGTGATGCAAAATTTGCCTTTAGTGAAGCCATGTTGGCTGTCAATCATCACCTCCTCATTTTCCATGTGCCTTAGCAGAGATTCCAGGAGAATCTGCTCCATGGTACTGCTGAGCACAGCGGTGAGACTGACCAGCCTGTAGTTCCCCTGGTCTTCCTTTTTTCCCATTTTAAAAATGGGGATTTTCTTTCCCTTTTTGCAGTCAGCGTGAACTTCACCGGACTGCCATGACTTCTCAAATATATGGGATAGTGGCTTAGCAACTTCATCCACCAGCTCCCTTAGGACCCGCAGATGAATCTCATCCGGTCCCATGTGCACCATCAGGTTCCTCAGATGGTCTCAAACCTGATCTCCACCAACAGTGGACAGTTCATTCTCCCAGTCCCTGCCTTTGCCTTCTGCGACTTGGGCTGTGTGGCTAGACCACTTACTGGTGAAAGGCAAAAAAGTAGTTGAGTACCTCAGTCTTGTCGGTACCTAGGTGACCAGGTCTCCTGCTTCCTTCCAGCGAGGGCCCACATTTTCCCTAGTTTTCCTTTTGTCACCAACATACCTATAGAAGCTTTTCTTGTTGCCCCTGATGTCCCTGGCCAGATTTAATTCTACCTGGGCTTTAGCTTTCCTAAACTGCTGCTCCAACAATTTCTCTGTATTCTTCCCAGGCTACCTGTCCTTGTTTCCACCCTCTGTAGGCTTTCTTCTTCTGTTTGAGTTTGTCCAGGATCTCTTGTGCATCCATGCAGACCGCCTGGCATTTTTTCTTGACTTCCTCTTAGTTGAGATGCATTGCTCCAGAGCTTGAAGGAAGTGATCCTTGAGTATTAGCCCGCTTTCTTGGCCCCCTCTTCCCTCCAGGACTTTATCCCAGGGTACTGTACCAAGCAGATGTATGAAGAGGCCACAGTCTGCTCTCCTAAAGCCCAGGGTAACGAGCTTACTGTGCGCCCTCCTTGCTGTCCCATGGATTTTGAACTCCACCATCTCATAGCCACTGCAGCCAAGGATGCCCTTGAGCTTGACACTCCCCGCCAGCCCTTTCTTCTTGGTGGGAACAAGGTCCAGCATGGCACCTCTCTTCATTGGCTCCTCTGTCACTTGGAGAAGCAAGTTATCATTGACACATTCCAGGAATGTCCTGGATTGCTTATGCCCAGCTGTGTTGTCCCTCCAACAGATATTGGGGTGGTTGAAGGCCCCCATGAAGACCAGGGCCTGTGAACATGAGGCCACTCCTATCTGTGGGCCTCATCTGCTCAGTCTTCCTGTTCAGGTGGCCTGTAGCAGACCCTCACTTTAACGTCACCTGTCCCTGCCCTCCCTTTAATCCTGACCCATAAGCTCTCGGTTGGCTCCTCACCCATCTCCAGGTGGAGCTCCACATGCTCTAGCTGGTCATTGACATCGAGGGGGACATCCCCTCCTCATCTCCCTGCTTGTCCTTCCTGAAGAGCCTGCAACCCTCCATTCCAGTGCTCCACTCATAGCAGCCATCCCACTTATATACACTTTTAGCATTTGTAACGTCTTATTGCAAGGAGTTCCAAAGTTTATCTATGCTTGATTCTTTTTGTTTGTTTTTAATTTGGTACCTGCCAGTTTCAGTTGATGGCCTCTAATTATTTAACAAAATAAACAATAATTACTCCTTGTTCACCTTTTCCATTCTGCTCATGGAGTTTCAAATTTTTTTTTTACCTCACCTCTTCCATTTCCTCTTCAGGCTGACACAAACAAAACTGAGTCTAAATTGGCTGTAGATAAATAGAGAAATCAAATCATCTAAGCAACAGAGCGAACAGCTTTGTAATTTTGGCAAACATTCTTATATGGTTTTAAGATGGAATTTTCACTATATATCAAAAAGGCTTCATGCTGAAATTCTCAAAAAAACCCTCAAACATGAGTGATTATATAGTCCAGATCACTTTGGTTCTGTATTCCTAAAAATACCCATGAATCTCACAATTATTTTATTGCATTTTATTTTATCAAATGTGGAAAAACCCAATGCTGCTTTTAAGATGATTTCTAGCACTGGTCACTTTAAACCATTATAGGGCAAATTAATAAGAGAAAATAAACGCTTAAAAAGAAAACTAGGACACAACTTTAATTGCAGTGTTTACATTCAATGCTCACTAAAACATTATTCATTTATTATAACTGCCAGTACTTCATTAAACAGGAGTATGTCACAAACCTTACCCTCAGGTACTTTCAAAATAAATTAGGTAATCCTGAAGTTATAGACAAACAAATCCAATTCAGATAGTGATGGCTCAGATAACATTACCTTTACAAAATAAATACAATCTTATTTACAGAAAAGGCAGAGATGCATTTAAGTGTCCCTCTTGGTTAATTCTAGAGGTCTCTCTGAAAGACAAAAAGTCTTAATGTGCTACTTTCAAAACATCATGCAAATCACTAAGGGTATTTTATAATCTGAAGCAGATTTAGGACAAAATAACTTTTCTAATTACATCTTCTGCCCTCCATAAGCAGGGAAAGAGAAAGGAAGAAAACAGGTCTACATATGAATTGGCAATCAGCAGATTGTTTCAGTTTCTTAGTACAAAATGATATCTCAGGGGGAAAAAACAGTAAGTCAATACAGTGAAATAATTAGAGAAAGTCCTCCTGGAAACAACTCATGTGGGAGCGCTGAATGTGTCAAACAGCATATGTGGCTTTTTGACAACACTAGCACATGGGGAGGGTGCTTATTATATTAGTTGTAGTGACTGTTGAAAGCCATTCAGTACTGAAGATACTGCAAATCATTAAGGGATGATGAAAATCAGTAACTTTAACCCATCCAAAATTTGCAGATGGGTATTACAGTATGCCTCTAAAGAGCTACTGTGTCCAAAAGGGAGTTACCTGCTGGAAGTACTTGTCGCAGTTAATGTATTCCTTATCATGGGAGTCTTGCAGCTTGTTTGTTTTGATGTACTGCCAGAGCGCCTGGATGATGGCCGAGCGGGTCTGCGTGTGTATCCCCAGCAAACGGGCCAGCCGCGGGTCCAGTTTAAACTGCGGGGGCTGTAGCAGACAGAGAAGGAGATGGGGATGACAACAGAAAGAAATGCAGACAGACACAGGCATAAAGTTTCAGCTTTAATTCTCAGGGGACTCTGTTCCTCAGAAGCAGCACCCTGTTCAAAAACAGAAACTGCAAAAACAGAAGTCGCTTGGATGTGTACCGCTGTTCATGCTCTGCAAGAACTATGTCTAGGGTTTGAAAAGAAAGAGGGACACTATATGTACTATGCAGAGTATCTGTATCACACGCTTTAGATAATAACTCACATGCAGACTTGGGAAAGAATCTTCCTTTTCAACACTGATGCATAATTAGACTTTGGGGAGTGGGAGAAGAAAAAAAATGGCCCTTCCTCTGAAAAACTGGAAGTTTACCACAGATAGAGAGAATGATGTCAGGATGACGCTTCTACTGTTGCTAATAACTGCTCAGCTGCCTCACATTGACAAAGTACATTGGAACTCCTGTTTTTCAGGCACGTTCCCACCATTCTGCTGCATACCAGAAAATTTAGCCAACTAGTCAATGGAATGTATTTTTTCTCCTGGCCTCTGTGATACAACTCTTCAACTACCCTGTTCTGCATCTCTAGCATAATGTATTCCTTGGATACCCTGGAATGTGGTGCATCATCGTTTACCCATACTCAAGTTTAGTATTTTCCACCTTATTAGGCAAGGATTACTCTGTCGAGTGCTAGGTGACCCAAAGCTATCTTTATAATAAATTGAGACATAAAGATAAGAGAGCATCTATTTTGAAGCATAAATTTATAACAATGGTGAGCCTAACAAACATCATTATATTGCCTTAACAATAAAGATTCTCACTGGCTGTATCAGCAATTCAGTTAGCTCATATGCTCCCTGAAATGAATAAAATTTTCTCTCTGCTAACATTAATGGAGTGTCTTTATCATGGATAGATGCTATTTGCATGTAGGGGAAAAAGCACGTAATGAGTTCCTAAAGTTATACAACCAAAATATAACTGAGATTGAACTGCCATTGAAAAGGGAGATCCCATCTTCTCTCAGCAGCACATTTCTATCCATTTCTTTTAGAGAGCACCATTTCTTTCAGGGATGGTTACAGTCAGATTAGTGAGCTCCACAACTGCAAATCTCCATCATTTGTGCCAAGAGAATGGAGACTGTGGCAGTGCACATTCACAACTGACATGAAAGTGTTTTCTTGGAGCAGCTCAGCTTTACAACAGCTTAAAACAGTTTGAAACTGTGCCCAGGAACCTTGTTTATATTCTGTCCCAAAGCACAATAACCTAATTTTGCCTTTTTTTGTTTGTTTCATATGACAGGGATCAGGGAACTGATTTGGAAGTAAGTTTTGCTAGCTTTCAAATGATCAGTTCCCTGACTTGTTTGTGTTCAGCCCACAACTACTACTAGTACAACAGAACTAATACTGACAAAAGAGACAAAGCAGGAATGCCTAAAGAGGTGTACCTAAGAGCCATGGCAAGTCTAACCCTTGTGGGGCAACGTTGTCTTGTGCCAGATAGGGTGAGAATGTAACCGAAACTTAAACCAGGAAAGCTGTGGTCTGCCCTCAAAAAAAAGGCTGCCACAGCTACACAGCTATTCAGGAACCACTAGCAAAAGCCACTTCTTTGAATTTCTGTACAGGACCACACACATAGCTCGTGCTACTTATCTGACTAGTCTCGAAGAATCCTGGGGTGGAAATGCACATTCTTTCTGCAGGTGGGCTATAAAAATACTAATTTTCATAGTGCCAAGAAAAATCTTTTGCTAGATTATAACAGAAACTTACTTGATGTGTCCCCTTTACATTTTAAATAATCTGTCAGTTTGCTCAGTTCTGCGTCCAAGTATATTGTTTTTTGATATATGTGACAGGACAAATTTGCTCAGTTGCACGACGTCCCAATGGCTGTATTTTCCAAGCCAAAAGCAGTGCACTGACCTGGTAGTCCAGCATAAGGAGCAACGTGCACCGCACACTGACATCGCCTGGTCTTTTCACCTGGAAGCCATCTGTTTCCTGGGTTGTGGGAGTTCTGTGCCACTGCCAAAGGGAAAAACAAGTATGATGGTCAGTCATTTTTTCACTAATGTTCATTGCAGTGCATCTTGCACAGTACACCATGCAAGAATAAGACAAGTACAAAAGCCAACCACAACACAAAACTCCCCAAATAATTTCTTGCTCTACTCTTAGAATTCAGCTTTGGTGCACGTCTGTTCTGCTGTTGGCATGTTTTACTTAAAATGCACACAAATTTTTCATCATTTGATACATTCTGTTCCAAGATGTGCACTACATCACTACTATGTCTAAGTTTTTAGACTATGAAGAACCTGTTACTAAACATTCTTAAAAACACTGAAATTTTGAAAACTTTGAAAATACATTAAATGAGAAAATGAAGGCAAGGTCACTCAGAAAAGGGAGGCAATGGGCACATCACTGTTTATCTGTGCTGGTATCAGGTTTGTATGCAAAGGGTGCACAACCCTCTTACCTCCACAAGATGGTTGTCAGGTCCATAAAGATCTTTGTCCAGTTCAATAACCAAACTCTTAAAAAAAGATGAAAACTTCCGTTTCTGTTTGCTGAGCTGTACAATCAGAAGAAACAGAAATGTTTAAGGCTGTGTACGTTAGCTTGTGTTCTATGCTTCCTTCTCAGGCTTTCTCTTTATTTTAAACACTAATTTCCACATAGACTACAAGTGTGATCAATCTAATTGAGTTTTTCCTCTGACAAATGCAAGGTAAAATGCAAAAATCTCAACAGTAGTGGAACAGTGCACACTTAAAGGAAGATTTCCCTGACTCACTGACACACAAACACCTGTGAGAGTGAGACACAGAGATGCTCTGAGGGCAGGAGCCCCTCTGCTGTGAGGACAGGCTGGGAGAGTTTGGGGGGGTTCAGCCTGGAGAAGATCAGGCTCTGCGGAGACTTTAGAGCCCCTTCTAGTCCCTAAAGGGGACTTATAAGAAAGACAGCAATGGGCTTCTTACCAAGGCCTGAAGTGACAGGTAAAGGGGGAATGGTTTGACACTGAAAGAGGGGAGATTGCAATGAGATCTCAGGAAGAACTTCTTTGCTGTGAGGGTGGTGAGAGCCTGGCCCGGGTTGCCCAGAGAAGCTGTGGCTGCCCAATCCCTGGAGGGGTTCAAAGCCAGGTTGGAGGGGGCTTGGAGCAACCTCGACTGGTGGGAGGTGTCCCTGCCCGTGGTGGTTTTGGGGTCGATTAGATGATCTTTAAAGGTCCCTTCCAACCTAAACCATTCTGTGAATCTAAGGCCACCGTATACTTTTTATTTTAACACCTTGGGGTTTTTTGATGAATGCTAATTTCTTGGTCTGATTTATCAGGTGACAGTAAATTTTACAGATTAATCATACACTAAGTACAATTATTTCCTTTTACATTTTGCCTTTCCATTTGATTATCAGTATTTGCTGTTTATTACACAGCATATACTGTCTAAATTAAAAACTGGGAGGTCCATAATCACATAATCTGACCTTCCACAGAACACAGTTCACAGGATTTCCATTAATTTCTTCTTATTTAATGCAGAAAATCTTTTAGAAATACATCCTCCCTCAATTTAAAATTTCCCAGTAATTGAGAAGCTATTTTGTTCCAGTAAAGAATCTCTTTGTTAAAATACATGCTCTAATTTCTAAACTGAATTTATCTAACTTCCAGATGTTGCACTTTGTCACCCCTTCATCCTCCAGCAAGGTTATAATTCTGATTCACGTACTGTTAACTCCAGTCAGACTGACGTGCCTTGAAAGCCTTGCCCTCTCCATACATGCATGTTCTCCATCCGTTCATCCTACCAAATATTTAGCTTGTGAAGTCTATTCAAATAGGTCACACCTTTATTAGGGAAGTCCAGCCTTTCTCAAGGAAAGCTAAAATCCATCACTGAGGTTTCTGAGGATTTCAGACTGATAAAACTTTTCTTCCACCCTTGCTCAGACCATTAATACATCCTCTTGCCCTCCCTTGGAATATGAACTACTTGTTTTTCCTTGTTGTTCTACTCTTCAGAAGATGCAATGCCTGCTGTGGGCCTGACATCACACCTCTCGTCACCTGAACCCTGCTGTATCTGATAAGGGAATCATCTCAGCCCTGTCCTCTCCACCTCCTTCTTCCTGTCCTGTCCTTGAGTCTGCTCCATTTCCCACTGCCCTCCCTGTCTCTACCCAACATCCCCATCGTGGCCTTATCCCTCACTCTGGCCAGACACGGTGCCTTCCCAGCAACAATAAGCAAGCGCTGCAATTCAGAGATGTCTTGTCCGAGCTGATGTCCCCATTAAAGTCCACCACCCCACAGGACACTCTCTGGACCCTCGCCAGCCCCAGTGAAGTGCAGGGAAGTCATACGTCATCCAGGAGCTTCCCTTCCACTCGCAACTCCCAGGAAGCAATGCTGCCATCAGAGTCATCAGCATCGGATTTTGCAGGATTAAATGTGTTGGAGATGTAAAGTCTCAGTTTCCGCTTTTGCTGTTATAGAAATAGAGAAAAGAGAAGTACATATCCAGTTTAAGTCCAAGACCTGAGGAAGCCACAGATGATAGTTACACGTTTAGTAGAGAACTGCGTGTTTAATATAGTTGCACCAGGTTATACCAGAATTTAAGATTAGGTTATGTATACGAAAATATACTGAAGATCTGAACCTGGGACTTCCTTTCAAAAACTATTGGCTAAATAAACATGCTGAGATCCACTCTATGTGAATAAAGACAGGAGGTTGCAGGACCAAGCCCTTGAGGCTACACATCCTGTAGTTATGGGACAGATCATTGTAAGAAAAGCACGATATGGTGCCCTTCCTGTCTAGATACTAGCTAGATTACTAAGGCTCAGCTAGAAACCTCTTGCCACATTAATATCTTCCATAGTTGCACCAGTTCAGATTTGTAAATGGCAGTCACAAATACAGCTAATGCTGCAAATTACATACCAGGCATATCTCCACCCATCTTCATTCTACCATCATGTGGAGCCTGGTAACAGTCTTCCTACAGACACTCACCCAAACACACACACCTCCCCAACCCTGTTGCTTAACCTTCCTCTTTAATAGCCTTTCACCCTAATCAATCATGTTGCAGCTCCAGCTTGCTGTGAGACCAGAGCGGTGGAAGGTGCTGTACTTCATCCCTAACCTGGTGCTGAGGTCTGTGAGATACAACCATCCCTACCTGTTAGCATTCTCGCAGGCTATCTAAGGCTTCCTCATCGCTGTGCTGGCTTATGGCTACATTATTTCTCAGTGCCTTTCCCTCCCACAAACCATGTGAAAAACTTGGTCATTAACTTTGATGCATGGATTTTAGAAAAGAAATTGCCAAAAATTTCTTTGGGACTCTAATCTCAAATATCTGTTAATATAATGACAAAAAGGCTACAGTTGTCAAGTTAATGCAGTCCAAACAACCTTCACACAACATAAGAAAGGAGCAGCCTTGTAAGGCCCTTGTACTCACACACACACACATATACAGGAAAGAATTTACACACATCAGGTCAGGAAACTAAAAATCTAATACAGCATAGAGGAATGTGGGAGGTGGAGAGGTATGGCTGAAGAGGAACAAAAAAATGACTACATTTTGCCAAATCTAGGGAAGACAGTGACAGAAAGGTTTGATGGAAAGGGAGCGTCAATGGTATGCACTGAGGGAAAAGGATTTTCCACAGTGCCAGGAGTCCAGAAAATGACAGATTGACACAGATAGAACATGGATCTCCAGGAAATTTTTTTCTACCTATCTGCCTGTTTCTCTCTCCATCCTTTCCAACAGGATTTCTGTTGCTTAAGTGCTCTTTCATTTTACAAAATGTTATTTTTTTAATGCCCCAGAATTTCTATTTAGTATGGAGGACCTATGAAGGACTTCACATTTCTAAATTCACAAGTCTTCAAATTAACCTGCACATTTTATGCACTGTTCCTAAATTTTATCCCCACCTGGATTATTTGAAAAACTGTATCTATATACATGAGCAGCTTTTTTCTTAACAGTTCTTGGATACTGTACTGAGATTTCACAGTTATATCACTGATCCATTTCCTCTTCTTTTTACTTCCAAATACATTATCTCTGTTCTGCCCTTTACCCTGGCAACTCCTTCCCTCCTCATATCTCCCCATATCCAGATAGGAACTGCATCTTTGTACTTCGATGTCTGACATTTCATCATTAAGATTATCCTCTGCAATAACATAGCTATTCAAATCTGAATATTTTGGATGTCTTCCTTTCTCCTAGCTTCCAGGCTCTGGCTTCCTTCTATATTCCATCTAAAATGAAGTTAGTAACAAGGTCTACCTCCCCTGTGAAATACAAAATACCTATCCTTGACAATTCCCACTGTTCCCCTTTGCTAACCCCTTGTAATTTTTCTTTCCAGTCATGCAGAAGCCAGATGCAGCTCACACTGTAGAGCTGGGCTCCCGCTGGGCTCCCTGCACTTTCCCTGCTCTGCCAAAGTCAGAGACTGCACGTCATTTGTTTCTCCCACATCTCTCTCCTCAATTTACAGTGTTTTCTTCTACACAACAAATCCTCTCCTCACTGTAATCCCTATAAATCAGCTCACTTCTTCCACATTGTCATCAGAAAGGAACTTAGAATAATCATGAATAAAATTCCTAAGGAATGGCTATCTCTAGTTCTCTTTCACACTGTTTTTTATGTATCTTGATTTTATATCAAAAAACGTTTAGCCTTTTATTCCAACACGTTACAGGACTACTGACAACCTGTAAGCACTGTGGAATGCTGAGCCTTTAGTCTCCAGTAAGCAAAGACATTCCATCCAACACGCAAAATGTGTAACTTCACCCTAGGGGTTGTCTTCAGATTTTGGCCCAAAAGGTACTGCAAATTTACAACACTATTAAGACAGTGATTATCTCCCAAATGCAACACAGAAAGACCCTTGCTTCTGACTGATAAAAAAATATCCAGGAAATCAGTCAAATAGGGCAACTGCACAGCTGCAGAAGGACCTCAACACTAAATGGGCTTTAAATCTAATAAGAACCTTTATTAGAACACAAAGCAGAATATGGCAACATAAACAAGGAGAACTCATATTTGCCAGGTAAAATGGAATAAATAAATAATAAAAAATGGTTTTATAAACCAAATTTTCTCTGCTCACAGGTCCTTGCAAAAGTTTCATTTCTTCAGGCTTGCTCTTACTCCAGCAACTCTGTGATTTCTTGGATTGCAGAGAACTCTGTCGGTTCCTTCCTGGGAGACAGACAGAATCCTCTCTTTTTATTCCTTAAGATCAAACTGCATTTGTGCCACTTTCTTCTCTCAGAAGACTCCAAATTTCTGCTTTCTCTTCCAGCTTCTCACTCAGTGAGGCCATCCCTTGTCCTTTCTGCCTGGCTGACTGTCCTGTCCTCCAGCCGGCACAACCTCCGTCCTCTGAGGGCTCCACCAGGCCAAGGGCACCTCAGGACATGATGAAGACTTTTCTTCCTCACAGCTGAGCCACCACTCCTCAAAGGACCCTGCACAGCCAATTGCCAGCAGGTGTCAACTATCACATTGTCATCACCAGGAACTCCAGACCTGACCTGACCTGCTGAGAGCAGCCAGATCTGCCACAGGCACTCTGGTAAGCAGCCTAAAAATAATGTGAAAAGGGCATCTGGCCGTGAACACTGCTTGAACAGCCAAATGTGTCCTCTGCACAGCACTGAACTGACCCAGACACATTCACGCCTCCACAAATAACTTTCTGAAGCTGCTGCCAACATGTCCACCTCCTGTTTGCTCCTGTATGAGTCGCTGCTCCATTTTTTCCTTTTTTCTGCCCTTCCCAGAACTCCCATCACCACCTCTTCCTTACATATGTCAGTGCTGCCAGCACCACTGGCTCCTCATCAAAGCTTCCTGGGAGCAGCTCTGCACAAGACATTCTGGGAGGATGACCACCTTCTCTTCCAGTTCCAGGAACCAGACAACAGCATCTGGACTTCCCCTACATACACTTGTCACCAACAGTGGTCATACATACTTCGAGCAGTGGCATTTAAAGAAAATACATTTAGAAATCTCTAGCAAAACATCAGAACCATGATGAACATTTTCTTTGGACCAGCAGGCTCCTCCTCTGCCGTGACTTTTGTCCTGTCAGCTGTGAGACATTTCCATCCCACTGGATGAAGCAAGATCCTGGCAGGGATCCAAGAGTCCAAATCCCTCCTGAGGGCTCTACCCAACAAGTAACAACTTCAGCACTCACAGCTATGCTGCTACCGTAAGGATGTCCAGTCTTGGGAGAAGTCAGTCCAGAGATGATACAGATAGTCAGAACTGAGCTCAAGGAAGAAGACCGCCAGAATGGCACTGGCTGGGGTTTTATAGCCGCTACATAGACCATAAAGTCTCCTTTCCCATCTCCACAGCGATGAGGAAGACACACATCCAAAATCACTGCACTCAGTTCACTTATCAGTACTCTTGGGTTCCACAATAATGTCAAGTTCATACACAGAGGGCTCTGAGAGCGAGGTGTTCTTCCATCTAATCCAGGCAGAAACGACACAATGTCAGTTCTGCACAACTTGGTCACTTTGCAGATTAAATACAGCAGTGCAATAGACTTGAGCAAGAAGCTACTGCCCTTCAACAAATTTGGCAGATTTCTTACAATGCACATTATAGCACAGATCTAAAACTTGTTCTTTCTGTATGGTGGCTTCTCAGAGAACAGAGAAGCAACCAACCAAAAACTGTGGCCTTGTTTTTTACTGGTAGGATTCTCAGTAGCTTGGAGCGAAAAATAAAGAGAAAACACACAGCTTCAGCGTGTGAAAAAACACACAGGGCAAGATGGAAGTAACACATTTCATCTCAGACACACTAAAACGTTACCACCCACAAAGACAAAGCTCAACAGGGGAGAACTTCACAGGGACTCAATCAACGTTGTGAATAAAGAAACCTCTTGTGCAAAAATCAACAAATGCTTACTCTGCTTATTCTCCAAGATACACATCTTTAACATGCATCTTTGACTTGTCTTCAGCAAAATGAACTTGAAATAGCAGTCATATTAGAAAGAAAAGCCTTCTCAAAAAAGCACTGCATTTCACTTGCAATTTTTCCTTGAGAAAAAGGAAAAAAGAAGCATATGTGACAGAAGACTGGTCATGTCAGGAATCAACTACTGCAAAGGTCTTGGCTACAACAGAGTGCAAGTGGCAGGAGAGCTCATGTGGAATGAAACAGACCTAAACAGGAGGCTGATGGGATGCTGGAGCAGCAGAACCATGGCTTTTCCTTCAATGGCATCTTCACACAAATCAATACAGCTTTCAGTTGAAGTATATGGGCAAAATGCTGAAAATCCACCAAATGCTTTAGAAAACTACCTCTGGTTTATAGGGCCACATTTTTTTCAGTTTCCATTAGCATTAAATCCCTAAAAAGTCAACTCAGAAACTAAGCCTCTGAAGATACCCTGATCTC